TATGAGGAATTGGTAAAGGCTTCGTCGAATTGCAAATTATAATATGGGCAGCATAGTACGTCCTTTCAACGGCGCTGAGAAGTCGTCTATTGATGGTGTTCAGTATGAACGCTCCTCCTTCTTCTGATTTACCACCTGGGAATCGAATTGTCAGCAATATTACTGCCTTTCAATACATTAAAACGGATATTCTGGTACGGATGAAAAACTCTTCTGTACATTCTGCACGATACGTAGCCTTGCAAGCAGGCATTAGTTATTATTTCTTATTTTAACGTCATCTCCGCATATCGGGTCTAATTTCCTCTAATTGGTAACTGATTCTAGATCGCAATGGATACTTCAGTCAGTATGTGACGGTCTGGCGGGTTCACGTTGTGAGCTCCTGGACAAAGTGGAACTTAATGTTTCCCCTACTAGATCGGCGAAGCACATAAAGTCATACATCAGTTAATTTATATCTGGCATGAAGACCTAAAATCATTGACTGCGCTTGACAGATAGTTGACATAAAGTGTAAGCTCAGCTCCATTATTCAGATTGGTAGTGGATTCTCGTTTATTTTTTCCACAACAGTGCTGCCGTATTAAATGCGGCACTCCACTCCCGGAGGAAAACGCATTTCCACAACAACAACCATCCAAAGAAATATAGTTAACAAAAAGGCGCATCTTCAGTAAATTCATCACTTACACTACGCTACCGTGGTTTTTGGAAATTGTGTTTGCAGGCATTCCACCTTGCTGTCAGGCAAGAACATGCAACAAACAAAGGTTAGACTTGCGTGGTAAAATGCTTAAAAAACAATTTTTGACAACAGTAGTTTAAGCAGTGCACCTCACATACCCCTAGTTCCAGCATTTTATCCCAAGGAAACGGGGGTTATACTCGTTTTAATGATATAGAATCAGGATAGGCAGTGAAATATACTTTAATAACGACTATATGCATTTATTTCATTGTGTTTAGAAGTGTTGTTGATTTATATCAGTAGATTTTCATAATCTGCACTATCATTCAACGTATTTCGGAAAAACCGACTATAAGAAAGCATTTTTTCCACTTAATACGTAGTTCAGCAAATTTCCTTCACTGCTTATCCTATTTCACCACCCCCAATAAACATATAACCACCGTTTTCGTAGGACAAAAAGCTGGGACTACGGGTATATGGGTTGCACTATTCAAACTAACTTTGTCCACCTTTGTTCTTGACCAAAGGCTCGTTGCACGACCTGCGGTGCTCTAACTTGGTGGCCGATCCCCGGGGGGAAACCCGGCCGAATAATTACAACACGCCCCCTTCGTTGTCCTGTGTTCACTCTTCGACTTTTAGTTAACTTATTGTTAGTTGACACGTACTGTGCCCATTCCGCTTCTGTCTTATGCCTCGAGGCCGAAATCATTGCACAGGACATCTTTTTGTGTGTTCAAAAAATACTCTCAAACTTTCTTCTTGTAAGTTAGTGGTTGGCTCCGTAGCCTTTATGAGTAGCAGTTCTATTAAGATTGATAAACGCTGTAGTGTACGCCACGTTTGTATTCTTTTTCTG